AAAACAGACCACATACTCACACACAGAACATGTTTAAATAAGTGCAAAGGAACTGAAGTTATCCCCTGTATATTATCAGACCATAGTGCGATGAAACTGGAGATCCATAGCAAAAGAAACTAAAAAAATTTCATAAATAAATTCTTCTTTAAGGTACTTTTGCATGTTCCTGGCAATTGGGTGAGATTGGAGGTTTTATTTCAGAAAACAAGGGTATGACAAAAAACTATTATATATTACGATTTTGTACCCTAACACAAGGTAGTTTTATTACTAAAAGGCTGAATCCTTGAAAATTTTATCAGTAATATGAACTTTTTGGTCCTCTTGAGTTTTTCCTTTTGTTTGAAATCTGTGATATTTTCATAAAGCCACCCTTGAGTCATTTTCAGCTTTTCCTCCTTGAATGGAAACTAAAATTTTGATTACAATAATGGAACAAAAATGGGACATTGTACTTACAAGTCTATACTTACTTATAATGAACTCCTGACATCTTACAGCTCATTTTTTATTAGTCTCAGGAAATGTATTCTTTAATTATCCTTTACATTTTGTATTTCACTTTGTTTTTCAAGATACTTATTTTTCCCTCTCTTGTCAAACTTCTTTTTCTTTTAGATACAGCTTCTCCTTTAACAAGGGCTTGTAAAAGTTTAAGTAAGTAGCTAAGTGTTCTTGAATCTCTCAAGAGGACAACTTTATTTTTATGAAATGGATGTCCTGAGCTTATCTGGCATCTATATTGTCGCTGAGTGCTTGTCAGCTTACCTTCAGGGAGATCATGACTTGTTAGCTCATGTACAAGTGTGGAAAGAACACTGAGCTGTAGTATAATAACAATTCTGGGAAGTTAAGGATGAAACTGAATATTTCATTTATATTAAAATTTTAAAATCGAAAAGAAGGGAAAGAAGTGAATAGTCACTAAATCTCTTTGTGACAGTCGTAGGGACTAGCAATTAGCAAACAAGTTTAGGTGTCTACTGTGGTTAAACAAGTCAATATACCACATAGGTAATGACAGCCAGGTTTTTGTTGGCAAAGAAATAACAAAAAAAGAATGGAAGAAGAACAGAATGAACTCTGTGGTGCTGGACTTGAATCAGATGTATGACATTTAATGTACTATACATATGGCAGGTGGGAAATTAAACACATGTGGACATGCGGATTAGCGCATGAAGTACAAATAATCCCTGTCTCCTGGCCCTGTGCACTGATGGGTGTGTCAGGACACACATCTTGGAGCTCTGTCCACTGACAAGACATAGGTAATGATGCTCTAGGAGCAGTGAGCACATCTGGCCCCACTCAATGGTGACGGTCACAAATCATTTTAGTGTAAGTTCCTCCATCTGACAGCTGTGTTTATTTTTGTTTTTATCCATGACATAATGTTTTATAACCAGGACAGAGGAGAACTGATCAGCTGACAGATGAGAAGTGATCCGAGCACCGATGCCTGCATCATAGATGAGATGACAAATTTCTCCCGTAAAGGCCAGACTGTAAACATTTTGGGCTTTGAGGGCCACACAGGTTGTCAGTGAGATTTTCCTTCTGCTTTTAAATCCCCCTATAAAAGTGAGCTGTACAAAACAGAGCACAGGTCAGACCTAACCCTTGTGCTCTACCCTGCCCCTCCCTCCCCAGGTGAACAAGAGCAGGTCTGTGGACATCTCTGGAACGACGAGGGAGTGACAATTATCAAGCAAAGGCCAGCACCGTGAGGAAGCTGAACTTGAACATTATTCACACTCCCAGCTGAAAATTTTAAGTTCTATGCATGACAGTTTTGAATAAACTTTTCTTCAACATTAAAAATAATCATCATTAATATTACTTGAAGAATAGAGATTTTGGCTAAAACAACATAACTGAAGTTGGGTATTTAAAAAACATCTGACTATATTAACATGAAGGGTTTCTATCTTAACCTCAATTCCTTCTTCAAACAAAGGCATAGATTGAAGACACCAGCATGGCCTGTGGATCAGTGTCTGGTGGTACCAGGGTCTGCCCTGCATACCAAAAAGCCAATTCAGAGAAGGTTGAAAGATGACCTAGTGGACACAGAGGGGAAGGAGCAGACAAGGACAGGAGGAGGGCTGTCATCACTCATGGGACAGGCATGCTTTTTAAGAAACTCAGCTATACTTAGGAAGCTGAGTGCCTGGAAGGACAACCTACTGAGAAGCAGAGAAGAGACCCACTCCCAAGAGGTCAGAAACAGTTCCGGCCATGCCAGGATCCGGCGGTGCCTGGGGCCGCCCGAGATGCAGGACAATTGCTTCTAGCTCATACCAGGGAAAACCCTTGCTGGGAGCCATAGGGAACCTGCGTGAAGAGGATCCAGAGAGTCCTACTGACAGCAAGGAACTGGAGGTGACCTGGGATGCTGACACCGAGGCAAAGGAAAGATCAACTATAGATGCTACCGCACACTAAGCAGTAACACACTAAGGTACATACATCAGGGAGAGCTGTGAGTCAGTGCTTCGTGACAGGGCAAGCAACACCTCTTCTAAGACTCTGTCCTATAAACGGGAACCTGTGTGTGCACCACATTGACATGCACACAGACACGGCACACACTGCACTGGCTGTCCATGGGGAAAGGAGACAAGAGGCTGCAGGGCAGGAACTCACGAACACACTGGGAATCAGGAAGAATAGTCAGCTCAACTCTCTTGGATTAAAAAATCATCAATGAAATTAGTAAGCCACATTTTATTGTATTTTTAAAAGATAATTTAGGATGTTCTAACAGGTGGTTTTAGTGTTTGTAACTTATTCTATAAATACCATATTCTGTCCTGTTCCCCATATTCTCATACTCTACACCTTTCTGTCGTTAATCACCTTTAATTCCTCCCCTAAAAACATGCAGCACCCCACCCCATCAAATTTTTAATTAAATCAGAATACACTCATGGAAGTGCAGCACATAAACACAAGAGATTCCACAGAAGTTTACCATTCTATCAGAGAGTTATTTCAAACTTTACTGTGATTACAGATAATGTTCACTGTTAATCATTTCATACCATATTATGGTAAATACTACAAGGGGGAGCCTTAGGAACAACCAAAAACCAGAACACTGGTTAATGGCTGCCGAACACAGTAAGACTCTATGTATCAACATTTATAAGTCATCTGGTAGAATCTAACAGCAGAAAGAAAGTAAGCAAGCAATCAAGCAGGCATGATCTCTCCCCATCAGGAGTTAAAGTACATTCAGAAAGAGAAGGGCAAAGCACAAATAAATCAATATAATGATTAGCTATGAGGTTAATGTTTCTGAACCCATTAATAATATGAATTATTCAATAAGTAAAAGCATCATAATAAGTGATGTCCTCAAATTTATTCCCTATGGTTGATGCAAGAGGGTAGGAGGAAAATGGTTACATATTTCTTCCCTTATTTTACCTTAACTCCTTAGTTAAAAGAAAATTACAGAAATCCCAATGATGGTGGAAATACTTGTGTACCTAGATTTAGATTCTGTGTCCTAATCCTACCTATACCATTGTCTTAGTTACTTTTTCTCATTGCTAAGACAAAATACTTGACACCCAAAGTTAAAGGACGAAAGGTTTATTTGGCTCACAGTTTGTAGAGGTTTCAGTCCATAGTCAGCTGGGTCCAAAGCAGGGTGCCATGGCAGTGGGGCATCAAAGAGGACAAACAGTCCATGGCAGGCAGAAGGCAACAAAGCAGCAAAGTAGCAAAGAAGCAACAAGCAGCAAGCGACAAGCAGCAACAGCAGCCCTCTTTCTGTCCCTTATATTCTAGTCTATCCAGCACTCACACTCAGGGAGGGCCTTCCCATTAGCCACACCCAGAACTATGCCAAACCAATCAGTAGACTCATTTAGTTATCATACACCCTCAATCCCAGCAATGCACACTCTAAATGCGACCACCTCTGAGAAGCCCCACCTATGAACGAATGAGGCTTTGGGGGAACATCTAGACACAAGCCATAACAACCATTAAACACATGAACCAATCTGATTGATAGCAAATGTTTCCAACGTAACATAAAGAAGCTAAGTTATCAGAGTTTTGCTTTCTCTTGCATGCAGCAAATCTACCAATATTCTATAACTAAACAAATGAGTGGCAAAAAAAAAAAGTTTTAATTTGGTTTTGTAATCAGTCAAACTCAAGGTATCTTTACCCACTCTTTTTTTTTTTTGGTACCGGGGATCGAACTTGGGTCCTTGCACCTGCGCGGCAGGCGGCGATTTACCCACTCTTTGAAGTACTGGTTTGATGTAGCACACTATTTCACACTCTCCTCTTGCCTATTACGTACCTCATCCATCTTCATACAGGTGCCAAAGTCTGCCAGCTTCAGGTGCCCATGCCTATCCAGCAGCATGTTGTCAGGCTTGACATCCCTGTGGATCAGACCCATGGAGTGAATCACATCCAGAGCCAGAACCACTTCTGCAGTGTAGAACTTGGCCCACTTCTCAGGCACATCGTAGTTACTCATCAGGTTTACAAGGTCCCCACCAGGCATGTATTCCATGACCATATATAGATACTTATCATCTTGGAAGGCGCAGAAGAGCTGGAAAGTGATAGGAAAGAAAAAAGCAATTTAAAAAACCAAAACCTTATGAAGGGAACAAAACCCCAACATACTTTTAACCAGTGAAAAAGGAAGCTATTTTATAACCAAAATTGAGTTAAAATTTATGAGATCATTTATTTCAGACTTGGACATATTCAATGGTAAAGCAGGGCAGGAAGAGAGAAGATTTTTACATGGGTACTTGTTCAAGCATACTATATACAACATGCAAAAATCAATGTCCTTCTCTCTGAGAAAAGCCAGTACTGTACAGAAAACTATTTAAATACAAACATCTATAAAAGAGAAACAGAATAGGAACAAGGAACATAAAAAGTGCAAATGACAGAAAAATCCACTATAGTTTAAAAACAAATAGCTTTCTGAAACCTAAACTATTCACATGTCCCTCACAGAAAAGCACCAAGGAGACGGGAGCAGTCTAGAAACATCTAAAAGCTACACAATTCAATGGGTACAATGAAGGTCCCAGTGCAGTGGGAACACATGCGATAGATAGCACCCACTCTGCTTTTCCCTCCCCTAAGTAGCTCGTGACACTGTCACTGGCACCATGAGTGTGAACAGTGGAACAGGCAGTGAAACCTCACTCACCAGAAAGGATCTGTGGATCCTAGCAAATGACACGCCCTACCCTTCCCAGAAGCAAACAAGCGATGCAAACAAAGCAAAGTACTTCAAGAAACAAAATTAAGACTGCAGGGGATGCCATATAACACAAATTGAGGGCAGCTGTAAATATGTAAAGTCAATACATATGAAAGCTAACAAATATGGCACTAATTAAACAGTAAGCTAACAGGGAAAAATTCTGAACTGTAAGAATGGAGTACATGACCACGGACAGGAGACCAGATTGCATAGCTAGGAAAGTGAGCAAAGAAATTTCCTCTGAACACATTGAAGGATTAAGAGAAATAATGAGTGGATTTATTATTACTTGGTATGGCAGACATCTTCTAATACAAAACAAAAGAAAGACGAGGGGAACAAGACTGCTGGTCCTATGCAGTACAGGCCCTAAGGTGGTGCAGAGGCCTTTAAGAGGCGAGGCTGAAGGGAGACTTGTGTCAGCAGTGGCACAGCAGTCCCTGGAGAAGACTGCAGGGTACCCTGAGGGAGATGGAGGGGCCCAGGGCTGGTGTCTGCTCCTCACAGGGGTCCTGTACACGCCTGCCTCTGCTATCTGTGCCAGTACAATATAGTCAAGGAATTCTGTGTATAAGTCCCAGCCCCTCCCCCTCCAGCTCATCCTAAAATTTATGTGGAAATGCAAAGAGCCCAGAGGAACCTAAATAATCTTGGCCAGAACTAAGTAGGAGGACTTCTATTTCCCAATTTCAACACTTATCACAAAGCTAATCAACACAGTATTAATACTGGTATAAGAACCAATATACAGATCAATGAAGTAGAACAGAGTCTAGTAATAAACACTTATATTTAATGAGGGGAAAGGTAGCATGTATTTATTTGGGGTTTTGAGACAGGGTCTCCCTTTATAGTTCAGGGTACCCCTGAACTCACCATGTAGCCTAGGCTGACTTCGAACTCATGGGGATCCTCCTGCCTCACCCTCAGCCCCCACCCAGTGCTGGGATTACAGGCATGTGGCACCACGCCCGGCTCAAGGAAAGGTAATATTTTTTTTTTGGTACGGGGGATGGAACTCGGATCCTTACACTTGGGAGGCAGGCGGCAGAACCACTGAGTTAAATCCCCAGCCCGGAAAGGTAGTATTTTTTAAAAATAGTGCTCAAAAAACTGGATACCTATAGGGAAAAAGATGAACATTTTTAGTTTCTTAAAATGAAAATGTCATTAAGGTGAAAATGTGGTCTGTACATGCACACAGAATTATAGCTCAGCACCGTTGCATGTCGGTAATTAACCCTACGGTGCACGGCTGGGAGCTGAGGTCTGCACCTCTGCCCAGGACGGAGAATACCGGGTCATGTTTCTCCAGCGTGGGCAGAGATCTCTCAAAGCTGGAAGCGCAGCTTTCTCTTTACCCTAAGACCAGATGTGAGCTAGACAGGTATGGGGGTGGGGGGCACTGGCGCATGCGGACAGAGGCTGAGAGCTGTCCCAGCCCACGCAGGGAGGACAGGCAGACGTGCAGCCTAACGGGGATGCGAGAGCCCCAAGGGGTGAATCAAGGGGAGCTTGAGAGAAGGTCCAACTCCGAAAGAGCAACGAGATGTAACCAGGAACTCGTTCTCCTGACAGGAGAGATGTGACCTGGACAAATGATGAAACCTGAGCAGGGCCTGAGGACACCAGTGTCCCCGTTCCAGGAGCGCTGGAGCTCTGCGAGAGACGTCCTCGCCTGTGAGGCGCAAGCCCTGGTTGCATGCTGTGTGCAGTCTCCCAGACTCGCGGGGTGAAACCCCAAAACTCCGCACACGGGGTCACGAGAGTGAGTCTGTTATAGAGGACACGGCGGCAAGAGCTTGCCTGTCCCTCCGCTCTCGGCCCCGGAAGCAGACAACGAGAAGGGAGCTGTCCAGGCCCAGGCCTGGCCACACCGCACTAGTCTCAGTGCTGTGGCCCCCAGCAAGGTGAGTAAAAGGGTGGGCACTGCCGACCCTGGAATGCTCCACCCTGCCCTGCCTGAGAGAAAGGCCCTTCCAGGAGGAGGGACAGGTATTGCACACACACCCAAGAAGGGTTCCTATCCACACAAACAACCAATTGACAGACATCCTAGGGGGAAGGGCAATCGAGGAAGAGACCCACAGAGGCATTTTGGAGAAGACCACATTCAAACATGAAAAGGTACCTGATTATGTTAGAGAAAGAGAAATCTAAATTGCCGTGCACTGTCGCTTCTCATGCAATAAAATGATCGGAATTTTTTTTAAACTAAGTATTAGCAAGAGCAGGAGCAAACGGAATTTATACATGATCCCCACAGCTACAATGAACCTGCCAGGCACCGCCAGCCAGGACTCAGCGCAGGGACCTGGAGACATTGCTCTACCCAGGAGCACACCCAACACGGCTGAGCATGCAAACCCTCAGACACTGTGCAAGACACAAATTTCCAAAAACATGCCAACACTGTGGCACAAACAATGAAATCAAACTAGCAATGAAGTGAATATAGCAACACGGCAAATTACTAAGTCACACAGACTTGGTGACATTCAGCAATTCCTCAGGAGACAAGGAAAACCACTCCAATACATTTGCCTTGTCTTAAAATTGTGGACAACACTAGCTTCAGGGGAAAGAATTACCCTCTTCTCTATATATGAAAAGAGAATTTTCAAAGAACTTTAGAAAATACATCAAATACAATCTCAAGTAGAATCTAGTAAGATGCAAACAGATGGTTATAAAAATATGCATGGAGTAGAAAAGGTTTAATTAGAAATATTTCAAAGCTTATGAAAATGTAAGATGTTTAAAGTCTCTGGTTATTCACTGTAACACTTATCAACAGGTACTCTCTGGGAAATACCTTAAAGTTCTTTTGTTAAGAAACAAGTAGTGTCGACAGTATTACATGCTATAGACTGACTTAACCATGACTGTCAGTTTTGTGAATTTTTCTCAGAAATAGAAGTTGAATATCCTGACTCACTTCACCTCACAGCAGTTTAATGGCTTGGCAACAATAAAACTTTATTGCAATTATTCAAGCTCAGAGCTGAGACTGAAATTTGTCTGAGGAAGAATAACTCTCAATCACTTTACCAAACACTTTTCAGCTTTGGAAATTAACTTTTGTTACAGACTTGATAATGCTTCTTAGTTATCACAACCTAAAATCACCAGGCCAAACAGTGCTTACCTGTAAAACTTTGCTACATACAATCACTTTAATGACAGCACCAAATGGTTTACAAACAATTTACAAAGGAGAAGCAAGATCTCCATTCTTACACAAATTTGCAGTGGATGTATTTTCGGAGCTCAAACTAGTATCACAGTACAGCAGAACTTCTGCACCCCAATATAAGTACAAAAGAAAATTTCTACTACAAAACTCATTCAGCCTTTGTAGTTAAGGAGCTTCAATCTAATCTTCAAGTGCAGTGCTTAACCTGCATATTATTAAATAGCTAAGATCAAGAAAGGCATTTAAAAGAATGCTTAAAGGGCTCTCTCCAAGTCACAAATGTGCTCAAAATCACATGCTCAAGGCCATCAACATTTATAAGTATCAGCAGACACTCTTAGTATATCATTGAAGTGGTACTTTATACTCTTTCTCAAAAAAACCTATGAACCTAGTCTATGTAAGAAAACATCAGGGGTCAGGGATTTAACTCAGTGGCATAGCACCTGCTTGGCAAGCTCAAGATCCTGAGTCTGATCCCCAATACCGAAAAGGAAGGAAAAAAAAAAAAAAAAAAAGAAAACATCAGGCATTTTTCAATACTGGAGTATTACATCCTATTAATATACCTGACAAGTACTCCACAAAACTGTCAAAGTCATCAAAAGCAATGAAAGTATGAAAAACTGTCACAGCCAACAAAATCCTAAAACACAGTATCGAATGTAATGTGATATGATGGCCTGCGACAGAAGAAAGATACTAGGTAAAAACTATGAAAGCCTGAATGCATGACAGACTTTGGTGAGTAATAATATATCAGTATTGGTACATTCATATATTTGTAAGATGTCTAGAAGGGAAACTAGATGGAGGAGGAAAGGAAGTTCTTTATATTACACGCTCAATTTTTTTCTGTAAATCTAATGGCTTTCTTTAAAAATAAAGGCTATTATAAAACTAACCATCTGCTGGTGAATGATAACCAGCATTTGATGGTACCTGGGTGTGTGAAAAAGACATTTTTCAAAGACAAATCTTACTCATCAGCATTACCAAAGAAACATCTGCACTCAATTTTGATGACAGGAAACAGTAGTTGTGAACCCCAATTAAGTAAAATGTTATCACTCCAGCAAACAATTTTATTGCTCTCATTATCTCTATACTTTTAAAAACTGTACTTTCA